TGTTGGGGAAGGGGAAGGAGAAAGGGGTTAAAGGGGGAAGGGGAAGGAGAAAGGGGTTAAGGGGAAGGGGAAGGAGAAAAGGGGTTAAGGGGGAAGGGGAAGGAGAAAGGGTTAAGGGGAAGGGGAAGGAGAAAGGGGTTAAGGGGAAGGGGAAGGGAAGGAGAAAGGGGTTTAAGGGGAAGGGGAAGGAGAAAGGGGTTAAAAGGGGTTAAGGGGAAGGAGAAAGGCAGGGGTTAAGGGGTTAAGGGGAAGACAAGGGAAGAGGCGTTCAGTTCGGAATAAGTGTCCATGCTTGTAACATTTTCCCTTTCCTTTGTTGTTGTTTTTTCTTAATATTAATCATGATAAACATTCTTTCCATTGTAGTCCATCGGTGCGTTTTTTTTCCCGTCTCAAGAAAGCTCGTTTTATCTTTGCTTTGCGTCGCGAGGTGGGCGTGGGAGTGAGTGGGGTAGGGGGCGGGGGGGGGGGGGGTAAACGAGGAAGGAACGAGAAGCGGATGGGGGGTCGGGAGGGGGTGGGGGCAGGGGTCCGGGCTAGGAGAGGAGAGGGATGGGGGCGAGGGGGAGAGAGGGGTGCAGGGGTGTGGAACAGGGAGGGGAGGGGAGGGGAGGGGAGGGAACAACTTTCCCCTCGGAGAAGGGTTGACGGCCACGCTCACGCACGCTTGACCGCAGACAATCAGGAGACCCGACCAATTAACATTATTCGTGAAAGGTCAATCGTTTCGCAAATCAAGCCGCCTTGCATGTCTGTATGTAAATTTATGAGGCGGTGCGGAGTAGCTTTCCTTGAGTGCGGGCAGGCTCCCGGCCGGCCGTTGCGTGTGCATGTGTTGACATTAATATGCAGGCACTGATTGCACACGACATGTGCGTGCTCTCGGTCCGAGAGACACGCTCACGTATGTACGCACTTAATTGCTCAATTAAACACACACACACACGCACGCACGCACACACACGCACACACACACACACACACACACACACACACACACACACACACACACACACACACACACACACACACACACATACACACACACACACACACACACGCACGCACGCACGCACGCACGCACGCACGCACGCACACACACACACACACACACACACACACACACACATACACACACACACACACACACACACACACACACACACACACACACACACACACACACACACACACACACACACACACACACACACACACACACACACACACACACACACACACACACCACACCACAACACCACACACTGTACATACAAATACACATACACACACACACTCGGCCACGAGCTCATGTATCCCACACGCTCACACGCACATTCTGGCCTCTCTGAGATCCTCGCGACGGGGGGGGGGGGGGGGGGGACCTGGCGGACTTGCACATCAAAGGACAACAGCAGGCCTTCCCGACCGTGAGTCACGTGCCAAGACGGACTCGTGAGCCGCGTCACGTGACCTCACCCTCCCAAAAGCTCTCTCCTCTCTCTTCTCTCCTCCTCTGTTCCCTCTGTCTCTCTCTCTCTCTCTCTCTCTCTCTCTCTCTCTCTTCATCTCTCTCTCTCTCTCTCTCTCTCTCTCTCTCTCTCTCTCTGTTCCTTTTCAATTCCTTCCTCTCTCATCCTCCCCCTTGTCTCCCTCTTCCATACTCTCCCCATTTCCATCCCCCCTCTTCCTCCCCTCCTTCCCCTCTCCCCTCCTCTCTCACCTCCTCTCTCCCATCTCCCTCTCCCTTCCTCCTCCCCCCCTCTTCCACCCTCCCTCCTCCCCCCCTGCCGGCCGTCTCCATAAACTCATCAGTTCGATTCCTATCCAATTATAACTTTTTTTTTCAGCTGTGACTTTTTCGTTACGCATTGTGATGGGCTTGTTGTGTGGCATCCCGGGGGGGGGGGGGGTGTACGGAAGGGGAGGGGGAAGGGTAGAAAAGGGGGAGGATGGAGGGGAGGAGGGGGGGAAGGGCAGGGTAGAAAAAGGGGAGGGGAAGTGGGGAGAAGGGCAGGGAAAAGGAAAAAGGATAAGGAGGCGAGGTATATGGGAGGACGATTGGATATGAGGATATTGATGAGGAAGTGTGTGGGGGGTGGGGGGGAAGAGAGAAGAAGAAGAAGAAGGAAAAAACAGGTGTAAAAAGTGAAATGTAATGGAATAGTGAAGGCGTGCGAAAGGTTAGGGGGAAAGGGGAGGAAGTGTAGATGGGAATGAATGCTTAAAATGGACACACACGCACACACACACACACACTCACACGCACACGCACACACACACGCACACGCACACGCACACGCACGCACACACACACACACACACACACACAACACACACACACACACACACACACACACACACACACACACACACACACACACACACACACACACACACACACACACACACACACACACACGCGTATCCCCAGATTGACCCATCAAACGCGGGGCCATACGCCGCCCCAGGTAATTCCGCCGGCAACTTTTCTCTCGCCGAAATGATCGTAACTTCGACGAAGACACCGGACGGGCACAGTGCTAATCCACCGGACCTCCGCCGCGTAAGGTCGGAAATCCCACGGCGGCTGAGGGGCGGGCTCGACCTTCCCCGCCCGCGCGTTCGTTCGACTGAACCTTTTGATCGGTTGTTTTAATTAGAGCTTCGTCCCGTCCCTCAGCTGGGGGGGGGGGGGGGGCGAGGGGATGGATGGGAAGGCAGAAGAAAGATAGTGTGTGGAAGGAAGGAACGAAAATAGAAAGAGGAGAGGAGGGAAAGGAAAGTGAGAGAGAGAGAGAGAGAGAAGAGAGAGAGAGAGAGAGAGAGAGAGAGAGAGAGAGAGAGAGAGAGAGAGAGAGAGAGAGAGAAGAGAGAGAGAGAGAGAGAGAGAGAGGGAACAGAAGACGGGGGAGAGAGAGAGAGTGTTAATATGACAGGGAAAGGAGTAGCATATTTGTGGTTTCAGGAGGGGGAGAGAGAAGAGAGAGGGGGGGGAGGGGCAAGACAGAAGAGAGGGAGGAGGGAGGGGGGAGGGGGAGGGGGAGGGGGGGGGAGGGGGGAGAATGGAAGTGTTGTGGCATCCCTCCTGTCACTGCGATCCCGCCCGAGATAATCTTTTGTTAATGTTGCTAAATTTAGATCCGCGATTTGAATACTCGTTCAAGGTGGAGGAGTTTGGCTGCGTTGCGGCAATTCGCACCTGCCCGCTCCCCGCCTGGACATGCCCGAGCTGAGTCCCGCAGGCATCTCACGCCTTCCTCCGCCTTAGGATCAGCTCCCGGGTTGTCGATTTCCCCTCTTCTTGTTCTCTCGCTATCCTACTCTCTCCCCCTCTCCTATTCTTACCCACTCTCTTTCTTTCTCCTCCTTACTCCCCCCCCCTTTCTCCTAACTGTCTCCCCCACTTCCATTATCTCACTCTTTTTCTCCTTTTTTCTTACCTTTCTTCCTTCTCTCTCTCTCTCTGATCTTCCCTCTCTCTCTCTGTCTTTTCCTCTCCTTCTTTCCTAATTCTTTCTTGGTACTTCCCCATCCCCCCCCCTCCTCCTGTCGCCCATATCATCTCTCGTCTCAACAGCATACACGTCTCTCTCTTCTTCTCTCTCCTCTCTCTGCTCTCGTCTCCTCTGCTCATCGTCATCTCCTCATCTTCTCTGCTCCTGCTCTCTCTCTCATCATCTCTCTCTTCTCACTTCTCCAATCTCTCTCTTCTCCTTTGTGCTTCCTTCTCTTTCTCTCTCCTTATGTCTCTTCCGCTCCTTTCTACCCTTCGTACTCTCACGCCTCCCTAGCCTCCTGCTAACACACTCGGCGTGCTCGGCGCAGGCTTGACTGCTCCCCTGCTCCTGGCCTGGGCAGATGGCGCCCGTAGAATGGTTGCGAGCGGGACCGACGTGGGTGAGCGACTGCGGCAGCGACGTCGGGCCCCACGAACGCACTGTGCCACCCTTACGACGACTCCATGGACGGCACGCCCGCCCATAGCATCCGAGAGATCCACCTTGCCCGCACCGCCTGCCGCAGAACAACCGGAGAGAAGGCGTGCAGCTGACCCAGGTCAGCGCCACCGGCCTCGTCTTGGCGCGCCTTCCTCAAGATATAGAGGGTCTTGGCCAAGAGAGACACGCGAACACGTTCTACCAAACGGACACCGGCACCTTATTCTGCAATATGAATAAACTAATACTTCCATCCCGTCATCAAATCTGGTGAGTTGGAAGCTCAAACCGCGACGCGAACACAGGCACGACTACGGCATATACAAAATGACAACACATAACAACAACACACCACACACAAACAACAGATTATATATGATATATATTATTATATACAACTCACACTACCAAACTAACAATATTACACCAGCTCAACACACACATATCACTCAACTATATATAATTTATATATATATAATTATAATATATATTTAGTATAATACTAGATATACACAATACTACACCTCAATCGCTATACAATATACCCACTCCACCACACACATCGCAAATTACTATACACACTCAGAAACTGTAGGATCTTATAGAATAACACCTCCTATTGCACACACACACCAACATAGCGACATCCCCGAGGCTTACCCACTTCAGAAAGAAGACACATGGATCAAGAATGCCATGGCTTGATCCTTGCCAATACATCGGGTTGATTTACATATTTTGCTATGTGATGCTTACACGGCCTCGTGTAGAAGCAGTTTTGGGAAAACCGAGATGACAAGTGTAAGAAAAGTGACAAGCACGATCACAACGACGAGCACTAACACCGCCCCGATCCGAAGTCGCATGACCGCATCCGACTCACAGCACAGCAAGGCACGAGCGCACCCCATGACCACCAGCCCGCCGCTCCAGCAACGGCCGGCGGCGGGCCACGCACACGCAACAAGCCACACGAGGACACACCGGGGTGGCAGGTTCCACACCCGGGCCGCAATGTCCTCACACTGGCGGGGCTGATGAAGTCCGCACCGAACCACCATGCGCAACTGCACACACTCCAGAGCGCGCCGACTGCGCCTACCGAGCGCCGCGCCACGACAGCGTCCATGCCAGCAGCCGGGCATCCTCCACCCTCGGCGCCCGCGGCCCCGCCCCGCTCACGTGCACGCGACCCTTCAGCTGCCCACCTGGCAGGGCATCCCGGGGCTGGGGATTCTCTTTTTTCGGGCTACCTCTCTTCTCTCCACAGTGTCAAGCGGGCTCTCGGGCAACCGTGCAGTGAGTGCAGCGCGAAGCGCACAGGCGGAGACGCCGCCGGGAGGACCTTGGGGAGGCGTGGGGGCGTTTTGCCCGGCGGCAATGTATACGTTTGCCCCTGCGCAGACCGCTAGGGCATGATTTCAGCTTAGCAGCAGAAGCATAGGGGCAAAAGTGGCATTCAAGCAGGCCACTTTTTCGGGCACACACCCGGACGTTGTGGAGATGTGTTTTACAATACTCGCTCTTCTATTATAAAATAATATCGGCGGATTTCGGAAGTAGGGAGCTGTTGCCAGAACGAGCTCGCGCCCGCTGCAACGCGTCGGTCGTCTTCGGCTGAGCAGCCTAGACATAGCACCATACTCTCGCTTTGCCTGCCGCTACTTCCGCATGGGTTGGCGATGCCTTTGGGCCAGGGGGAGAGGGGGGGGACGCGCCAGTGGGGGAGGGCGCCCCAAGAAGAGGGCGGCACAACTATCCTCATATAGTGCCGCCAGCGACAGCAAGGCACAGCATCGGCGGCGACAAACGTAAGAGTGAAGCTTCAGCCGAGTTACTGACCTCTCCTTCCGATTCCAGCTGGTGGCCCTGGGAGCTCAGGGGCCAGGAATCCTCATGCAGAACCAGCTTGCGGCGGCGGCAGCGGCGGCCAACCAGCTGCCGGTGTCGTCCCCTCTGCCCAGCCTGGGCTCTCTCAACCCGCAGGAGCTTCAGGTGAGTGGCTGCCGCCCCTCGCCTCTCGGCGGCGGGGGAGTGGAACTGCCATGAATAAGTGATGGAAATCAACTGTTTATTATTACTTTGCGTGTATTTGCTTTGTCTTGTGGACTTGATGTTCGTGTCGCTTTCAAATGGAATGTAATTTTCTATTTCCGAGACTGAAATATAATGCATATCTTTCCTTGCAGGCTTTGCAACAAACTCTGTCCCAGCAACAACAGCAGATTCAGCAACAGCTTCAGCAGTTTATGCTGTTCTCCCAGTCAGGTGCAGCCTCTCAGTTGCCTCCTCAGGCTCAGGCTGTTCCTCAGAGCCAGGTTGAGATGACCGGAGTTCACCTGCGTTGTGTATACTTGGTCGTGGTAATTAAAAGTCACCATATAATTCCTCTGCACTTGACTGACTGTCTCTTCCTCTCTTGCAGCAGCTGCAGTATTTACAAAACCTCCTGCAGCAGGGTCTTTTGGCCTCTCCCGGTCTGGCGGGGCTGCAGGGCCTCCAGCCCCCCGTCTCGCAGGCGCCCTCCCAGACCGCGCAAGTGCGCAACGTGCAGCATGCCGTGGCCCAGGCTGCCCAGCAGTTGCAGCAGCTGCAGAAGGCCCACCAACAACACCAGCAGCAGCAGCACCAGCAGCAGCCCCCCCAGCAGCAGCATGTCCCCCGCGACGTCCGCGACCTGCGTGATTTGCGAGATATCCGGGACATGCGGGACCTGCGGGACCTGCGGGAGCTCCGCGAAATGCGTGAGCCCCCTCTTCGGCCCCCGCCCCTGGAGCCCCCCCACGTCTCAGGCTCCCCCATGGCGCCCCACCTCACCCCGCACGGCCACATGCCACGCCCCCCTGTCTTACCTCACTCCCCGCCTCCCCCGCGCCACTGGGAGCCGCCCCCGGAGGAGCCCACGGACCTCGAGGAGCTGGAGCAGTTCGCCAAGACGTTCAAGCAGCGGCGCATCAAGCTGGGCTTCACACAGGGCGACGTGGGTCTGGCCATGGGCAAGCTCTACGGCAACGACTTCTCGCAAACCACCATCAGTCGCTTCGAGGCCCTCAACCTCTCCTTCAAGAACATGTGCAAGCTGAAGCCGCTGCTGCAGAAGTGGCTGGAGGACGCGGACAAGACGGTGACGGACCCCACCACGCTGAGCAACCCCCTCACCTCGCCCGACAACGTGGGCCGCCGTCGGAAGAAGAGGACCTCGATCGAGACGAGCGTGAGAGTGGCGCTCGAGCGGGCTTTCCTCCAGAACCCCAAGCCGACCTCGGAGGAAATTGCCATGCTGGCTGACAACCTCTCGATGGAGAAGGAGGTTGTCAGGGTCTGGTTCTGTAACAGGTAAGTACGTACCTTCGTTTCTGGTTCTCTTGAAGGATTGCCCTTTGATAGTGTGAGCGGTCGAGTGTAGCGCACGTCAGTGGAGGCCTCTTCTCCACATGTTGCCAAGGTCAAAAGGGTCTCGACACTATCAAACCTCAACCTTACTACTTGCTATCTCACACGACTCATGCCCACATGCTTGTATGATGAGTCTAGAAAGCACAAGGGGTGGCGGGAAGATGGGAATAATGTTTCTTTTTTTTCTTTTGCAGACGCCAGAAAGAGAAGCGAATAAACCCTCCCACGAGCGGCATGGTGAGCCCGCCGCTGAGTCTCAGCAACACCTCGGTGTTCAGCACTGTCCCCATCTCCTCTGCCCTCACCCTCACCAGCCTGGGGCAGCCCCCGCTCTCCCCCGTGGGCCCCTTGCCGTCTCCCTTGTCTCTGGTCACTCACAGCTACCCTCCAGCATCGCCACCAGAGTCTGCTTCCACAAAGTCAGAGTAGGTGGGTGCCCGGGCTCCTTGCGAGGCTACGAGGCCTCCCAGGGCAGCCCCCTGGCACCTGCTCTCCCCTGCCACGCCCCGCCCCTCTCGTGCAATGCTTCACCCCTTGGGAGGCGGGGACCTGTGGCTCTACGGGGCACCCCAGGAGTAGCACCAGGAAAGCAACATTGCCGCCCTCCCTCGCGGGGGACCAGCGCCACGAGGACGCTGCGTCGAGAAACGGAATTTTGAGCTCCAGGAGGCGGATCCTGTGTCATTGTTGTTAGTGTGTCTGTGTGACGGTGGTAGCCTGGCTGCCTCGGATCACACGGTCTTGCAAGCCTCACCTAGCCATGGCTGCCAGCAACAGGCGTGATCATATCAGTGTGGCGAGGAGGCGTCTCGGCGGACCGCGCGGAACACGGACATTGCGCCGCCACGCCCACGTGTCACTCGGTCGCAGAAACGGGCAGAGCCTGGACATTGCCCCGCAGGGCGCCCGCCGTTACGGCAAGTGTAGTGCGAGAACTGACTCGAGGAGGACAGTGCGTAGGCGCCAGGGTGCTGCGGGCTCTCGGAGGCGCGAGTGCATTGCGTGAGGCGGCAGCGTGGCGCGCGGTCGGGCCAGGGCGCTCCCCACGCAGAACCTAACCCTCGGGCGGCGGCGAGGTGCCCCACTCTCGCTCTGTCTCGCTCTTAAGGTCTTAATCTGTCAGCTGTGTCGTTAACAAAGTCTAACTATGTCAAGAAAACGAGGAAAAAGAGATTCTATTACTTTTGAAGCGAAGCTCCGGACGGCAAGACAGTGGGGGGCCAGCCGTGGCCGCGAACGTGAATCTTGGCAGTAGTTTGTAAGAGGACGGGGTACACCGGGAAAGTGTTTTTATGTGTAGTGGTTAGATAGATGAATGATTTCTGTATTATCATTGGAATACTGTCTATGTGGCTTATTTTATCTATGAGTACTAGTGTAACATTCTAGTAATGTCTACTTAAACAATCTTGCCTAATTCGAAATGAAAGTTCCTGCATATAAAATGAAGTACGTAACTTTTAAGATACCTCAGCCAAACAGTGGTGTTTGTGGGGCGGTCGGGCGCGGTGGGGCTGGCCGATTCCTAGCTGCATTTTTACTGTTGTAGCCTCAAAGCGCGAGGTCCCAGCGCCGCCACGCCCGCCCGCGCCCGCGTGTGTTCTCTACTCCAACGTTGTGATTGTGTAGTCATGGAGTATACTTCCCGTGGATCCATTATGTTAGATTCTTAAGGGCTTAGTGTATCAGCATCGCCCCCGCCCACCCCCCTCAGATCCCAGTCCCCTAACCCACCCCTTTCCCCTGGTTCCTCCCCTTCCTTCCCCCCCTACTCCCTCCCCCTCCCGCCCCTCCCAGCCCTCCCTTACGAGAGACATTACCACCAGCGCTTGACCCGAGGGCACCGAGGGCACCGAGGGCACCGAGGGGCAGGGCGACGACCGTCTCCTTCACCCACACGCTCTCTCTCTTTCTCTCTCTGCGGCGCCCATCTCGCCCCCGTCAGAACCAGGGGGAGGGGGAGGGAGGGACGAGGGGCCCTGCAAAGCCCCCGTCTCCTCCTCCTCATCCCCCATCCCATGTCACCTGTGCCCCCTCCCCCGCCTCCTTTTGTGAGTCTCTGCTTGTCTTCCAAAGGACTAATGGACGGATGAGATAATGGGGAAAATAATTCATCGCGACCTTCATCGCCTGGCTCGCAGTGGGCGTCCAGGTTTTAGTACCGAGAAGAGGAACACGATGGTCCCTACAGACGAGTCCTTTTCCTATAGCTGATTTCCTTCCCACAACTCTTGATTTATTTTTGTTAGTGTGACTCAGTTTCTTGCAAAACAAGCGTGGTCACTCAGCCCCGTCCTTCCCCACTCTTCCTTCCGCACGCTGACCACGCCTCTTTTTGGCCCTCGGTAAAACGCCCATCCGAGAGGGTGCCTTGGCTCCCTTACCCTTCAGGGTTAAGGGGCGAAAGGTGTCGCTCTAGGGGCACTTCCAGTCTTTTCTGCCCCATGCCCGCCCCTCCGCCTCCCTTCCCCTCCCCCTCCCTGCCCACGGGGGCTGACTCAACGGTGCGCGTGCGCGTTAATTACCGTTCTTACCGTAGCTTCGCCGACATTTTCCTCTCCCTTGTGTGTCCGTGACGAGGTGCCAAAGCCGTCACCTTCCCTGTCTCTGTCAGTGTTTGGTCGCTCGAACAGTTAGGAAACTATATTTTCCAAGTCGAAGATTAATAATGATTAAAAAAAAAATAAGATTTTGATGTGCAGTATACAAAACAGACAAACAAAAAAAAACAATGATAGTAATAACGACGATTGTAAGTGTATCCCCCTTCATCGCCACATCTCAAGGCCTTCCGCACAGTGGCCACCCCCAGTCGTCGCGCAACTCAGGAGCATTATCTTATAGTAATAAAACATTGGGGGGTGACCACGTGTCGCCGCGGCTGCAAAAGCGGGATTGGTGGAGCAGACTCGCGTTAGTGTGGTTCTCGATGGTGATTGGTCGAGCCAGACGGTACGGATTCATTCAGTCGAACCGTGAAAAAAAATCACGTTTATACAGAATATATGAATAGAGGGATAGATACACGAAAAAAAGTGAGACATAAAGATTTAAAGTAAATTGGTCACTTTCACAGTGCGGGAGAGAGAGTTGCCGTTTTGTGTTATATTTGGAGATTTATGCCCTCCCCTCCCTCCCTTCTCCCTGGCCCCTCCCCTCCCTGACCCCCCTCCCTGACCCCCTCTCTTGTAATTGTTATTTGTAAGGTAAACTTGTAGATCCACGAAACGCTAAACGAGGTATGGGTGTGGCCATCCACAACGTTAAAGAGAAAGTTAACAATAAAGTAAACATGGGTACATTCTTGGCCACGGGCTCGTCGGAAAAGCGGACGAGCGAGAGAGAGAAAGAGAAAGAGAGACACGGAAGGAAATCCAGGAGACGAATGCCGAGATGGACAGAGAGAGAAGAGACAAAGAAGAGGTGAGATTGTGAGGCTAACACGCCGTCCGCTTGGCACAGGCTCCCCAGCGGAGTGTCAGTCTCGCGTCGACGGAAAAACGGAAAAAACTTAACCCGGTTGTAACACGTGGCGAAGAGAAAGCTGCTGGTGAATTCCTGTTTTTTATTGTTGTTGTGAATCATGATTTAATAATAATTATTAATAATAAAAATAACTAAAAGTTTCTGGTGAACTTTTTATGTTGTTGTAAAGTATAGTGATCAAAGTTGCTGTTTCTTTTGTTTCCCTCCTTTATTTTTCTTTTTTTCTTATTGTATAAATTGCTGAAAAATAGTTTCGAAAAATCTTTGTTGTATAACTAAAGTGTCAGTGTTATTTTCTTTTTCTTATTTAATAATTTAAGTCGCGATTATCGAAGGCCGGATGGGCATTATTCTTGGTCGCCGCTTAAGGAGAGATCAGTCCCCTTTGCGCTCGAAAAGGCGTGCGCACCCGCAAGCGCGCAGCTCTCAGATATTTTGGCCGACATTCCACAGGACTCAAGTGGTAAATCCATAAACAAGAAGGCAGTCTATACGAATAGGAAAATACATTACTGCATCAGCACAAACCTCCCCCCCCCCCTCCCCGCCTCCTTCCAGGTCCCCAACTCAGACTAGCGAAGGAGGCGCTGACGAACAAGACTGACCCGGTGACCAATGCCGTCGTCTCGTGGCCCCTCCCTCCGCCTTCCCCTCCTTCGGGTCATGCAGAGCAGGAGGGGGGAATCGGGCTGGGCGAATTGTCAACACTTCCTCGCTTTCCCTTCCCCGCCATCTTCATCTGCGTTCCTCTCCAGTTCCCAGTTTCGTCCGGTGCGCGCGCTCTGCTCACTCCACTGCTTGGAATCCTCCCCCCCCCCTCTTAGCAGTCACTCTGATTTCGAGACTTTATCCGACCTTCCTCCTCCACCGCGCCCCACGCAGACACGCCCCCGTCCCGCCTCCTTCCCGCCCTGGTCCACCAGCCCTCCCCCATTTCCAACCCTCCCTGACCACTTACCGAAGAGAAGAGAAAAGAAACCATGGATGAAATTAACCACGTTAGATGAGGCATCCAGCTGCTGTGCTGGCCGCTGAAGAGGGCCTCTCGGGGTTGCTCCAGGAGTGATGCAGGAGTCTGAGTCATGTGATACACTGCCCACAAGAGGTCGCTCCGATCCCGTAGGATGTATTCAAACTGCGTGTAGAGTTTATTTCTTTTTTTTTTTCTTTTCCTTTTTTTTTTATACTCTGCCCTACTCGCCCTCCCTGAAATCATTTCCATGTTTGTTTGTTTGATTTCGCTCCATGTTCTTTATGCTCCCGTTTTCTGAACACTCGCTGAACCATCAAGCTCGATTCGCTGAGTCGGTTGGTGTTTCGAAGCCTCATCGTCATTTTAGCGTAATACCATTATTTGTTATTTCTCTCCCCACTTCTCTTCATCACCTCTAGTCCTTTCTCGCCAGTTTCGCATTGCTGTTACTTCTTTATTTTATCTTCAGTACTAGTCCATTCACGATGAAGACCTGTCAGATTTCCACCCCGCTCACTCACGAGATTTCAACCATTTTTCTACTGTGTCTTCATTTCTTCTTTTATCATTCTCTTCGGTCACCCTCATGATATTCACTTGTGTAAATATAGATTTAGTTTATTTTTTTCTGCATCAGCGGCTGGCGACGAGACTTGCTTTGGTTCAACGGGTGTCTTCTCGCTGTCTCTCTAACGTTTATTATTCTTTCCATTGCTGTTTCTTTCTCTCCCCGCCATTCTCTCCCTACTTGTGTCAAAGTTATTTATCAAGTTTATTGTAATGTATTTTTTCTTTTCTTTTTTTACTATTTATAGTAGGTGTTGTAAGTTAGGTTGACCTATAAGCTCGGCGTGGGCAAAAAAAATGCAAAAAAAAAAAAAAAAATGTTTAGGCTTTATAGGCTTGTGGGCGGATACGCTAATGCTGACTTGTATTAGGAGAAAAAAATCGGCATTATTGATTTTTCCTTCTGTTTTCCGGGAAGACAGGAATAGTTTGACGTTTTCCTAGATTCCAGAAGGTGATATTTTTTTTTCTTTTTATGATGTCCAGTATCCCAGTTTATTGACACTGTATATCGTATTCTGTCATCGTAAAACGAATACGGATAAAAACGAAAACAAAAAAACTAATCTGATAAAAAATTGGTTTAGAAAGCCAGAGTTGTCACTGAATTCTGTCTCTGTACAGGCTAAATCACAGGTTAAAATAAGAAAATAACACATGATAATAAGATATGATAAAAAAAAAGTATGTTCGCCCAAGGCCCACAAGGATGTCTTGAAAACCACGAGAAAAGAGGAATAGGAGGAGGACAGAAAGATGCTAATGAGCAGGTGATGAGGTGTTGATCCGAGCGTTGTCATAACGTCTGTATAGCGCCATGTACAAAGGAAATGATTTTTGTTATCAATCATTTTATAGATGCAAATAAAGAGGTGTAAAAAAAAATTAGAAGGCAAAAGTGACTTTTATTACTACCCCAGTTCGCACGCTGCAACATCAGCCCACATTCCCAGAGGCTTGTTGGGAAAAATAAAACGGTGGAGGTTTTTGAAGGAATGTCTGCACTAAAGATTAGAAAGCACGAATATGTAGATATTTTCGTAAATTGGTCTTTAAGGAAAATGGTCAGGCAAACAAAAGAAAACTATCCTTGAATTGCGCCAGCTACTGTATTGTCTTAAACACACTTCAAACAAAAAGAAAACAGAAAAAAAAATATAGAAAAACGACAGGTTTCCTTAAATTTCCACATAGGCACAAAACAGATGTATCCCCATGTGACATGTAAAGGAAGGTGCTAAGAAATCGACATGTATCCAAATTAACAAAATGAATTATTTTGTTTATATGAAAAAAAAGTGAAATTTATGCATTGAATCCATAGACACCTATAGACTCAAAGAAGTCTAATATCCTACAAAATGATTACAAACCCTGCGCCCTTCCTTAACCGAAAACTCCGTGTGCCAAAAGCATTTCATCATGAGATATTCACTTATCACAACCACAAGCAAAGCACTTGTAGAGAAAGCATTTTTTTTATTAGTTACTGGAAACAGCTGTGGAAGGCGCAGCGGCCAATTCAAACCCGTTAATTAAGGGATCAGAGAGAAGAGAATAAAAAAGGGTGATCAAAGAATTGTTTCACAAGACAAAGAAAGCCCCTTAAATGGCTGCGGAGGCTTAAGGGATTGTTCTTATTATTCCACTGACCTTGATAAGTTCCCTGGGACAAGTTGCATCTCGGAAGAGCAATG